TAGCATTTTCTGAAATAATCTTTTTTTTTTCCTCCAACAAAATGCTGATATGACCAATGAATCTTTTGTCAGCAATAATTATATAAATATATATTACATATTATTCAGCATGTTCATTCTTATTTTGAGTATCAGTTTGTTCAGTATCTGTTCAAAAAACATTGCACAGTGTCAGGCACAGATGGGAAGCTGTTAAAATACACAGTGGGAATGCCACACTTTACCTAGTAGGGAGATGGTTGAATTCTGAGTTATTATGAATGAAGAGTATAAAAATACCCAGCATCTCAAAATCTGATTACTGCAGAACATAAAATATGTTTTTTTCAAGGCATAACATCACTCTTTTTGAGAAACTCAGGAAATGTATTTCCCCTACATTTATTTTGGTACATAATAGAAGTATTTCCTTTTTTTTCAGAAACAAGATTTGACCACTCAGGAAGGAAAAAAGATTGACAAGGGAATTTATTACTCATCAAATATAATAATAATAATAGCAGATACTGCAGATATTTTCTGTGAACTCGTACTTGGCCCCTTTGCATACAAGTGTGAGTGCTGAAACGTGGAGTAGAGCGAGATGTTCTTTCAGAAGGTTTTCCCCTGTCCCACTAAACAGTAACGTGGTACCCCAGGATAAATCCCATTTATGTGTGCCCTACCTTGGGAGCTGTTTGCTGTGCTAACACATGCCCTCGGACAATCAATCACTGTCATCCAAACATGACTGTTCTTGCAAGTCCATTTGCTTTTGGTGATCATATTTAGATAGGAGCAACCTCCATCTTTGTCATTCAAGGGTAAGTTTTGTTTTGATTTTTGTTTTGTTTGTGTGTTAAAACATCATTCTAACAGATGTTTTACAAAAAAACCGAGTCTTTTGCTTGGAGCACCTAGAAACTTGATGGGGAAGTTCTGGCAAGAGAATCTTCACTTTCTACAAGAATACTTGGGATGGAAAATGACTCTGAGACAAGATGCAATTTTATGCACAGTAGAACTGATTGAAAACCTTTAATTTTTTTACTTCCATGGTAAATATTATTTTCTGTTATTTCTTTTTCAAATGCTTTTGCACTCCTTTGTATCTGTTTTTATCCCATTTTCTCCTTTCCCTCTCTCTTCTATTCCCCTTTCCTTTTCCTTCTTCTGTTTTCCCATATAATTTCGTCCTCCTTATCCTCTTTTTAAATGTTGGCATCGGATTTCCCCAGAGATAAATCAAGACTTTCCACTCATTCCAGGTTCTTTTAACTGCTGAGTGCAATGCTAGGAAAGGGGAGGATTACAGCAAGTGCCAGTTTGGCACTCAGAGGTAGGGAAGTCTGGCACCAGCACTATTATACGTTCAAAGACTGCAGTAGTGTGCTCTCTTGTCTCTGGATTTTCTTTTTATTTTCTTTGTAAAATTCTATACAGCTGAAAGATTTTTTTTTTTTTTATATTTTTTTTGGGTCTTTTTTGGCAACCCAACTGAAGATTTTTTCATTGATGAGGTTTTGGAAGCTTTTTCTTCCCAATGAAGTGTTTCTAATTCACAATTAGAAAAGAATGATGGCATAAACACCCTAACATTTCTGCCATACTGTGCTGGTTTTTCTGTTTAGCCTTCTTTAAACTTTTTCAATATATGATGTATGCAAGTACTTGTTTAAGAGAATAAGCTCAGAGATTTTCACTCTTCTGGCAAGTCAGCTGAAGCTGAGAAATGCCTAGATAATATCTAATGGCCTTTTCTTTAATGTATAGGCATTATACAAACATACAGACAGGCAGTTCTGGCACCAAAGTACTTGCAATCTAAATTGATGGTGGGAGGGGAAAAATTATTCAAAGCACTTAGATAAAGACCATTAGGTCAACGAGATATAGCAAAATATATTAACAACACCCTCAAAAGCAGTGTAGTTCACTTGATCAAACCATCTGACAGCTTTTTTGTACTAATGACAGTGAGAAAACATTGCAAGAAAAAGTGTCCCTTGTGTTGGTTCAAAATTGTCTGCAGATAGGAAGAAATGAAATATGAAAAGGAAACTCTTGAGAAGGTCATAGCACCCAAAGTCTCTCAGTTTTTGGTCTTTATGCAAACAAATCTTCTAAACTTTTATAATATTCTGCCATCACTGGTCTTTGTCGGGAGATTTACTACAGCCGTAAATGGAAAGTGAGACAAAACTAAACTGTGTCTGACCAGCTTTAACTGTCCAACACTGTTATCAAGTTCCTGTGCCTCTGCTGACAAATAACATTTATATACTAACACCTGTGACAGACAACTCTGTAAGAAAAGAAATGAAATCATGTTTACCCTTGATCAGGAATTCCAAGCAAGGGGATGCACATGGAGGCTCAGTTGCAAAAATGCACAACCTTGAAATTCTAAAACATCGGAAAATATTGTCTGAAAATAGCATTTTACAGTGTCCTAATATTTCTTACTCTTGGGGAAAAAAACAAAAACAAAAACAAAAATCCCCAAAAGCAGCAAGCCATTTATGGTGCAGAAGAGCACAAAGCTGCAGCAAACAGGTATGGAAGATAGTCAGGTTCAGAAAACTCTGTGCTCTCATATACTCAGATTTATTCACCTGTATCTCAGAAGCTTATGCTTTGTTTTGAATAATAATTTTTACTGGCCACAGTAGGTATATATTATAAAAAAAACATTCAATTAATTTTCCTGACTATTTGTACCAAAGCTTCAATTTGTAAACCCATTTTTTTCCCTTCATAGGTAAAAGACAAAACCCTGCAATGAAAGCAGGAGAATGAATCATGTCTATTTCTCTAAGTTTTCAGTGTTTGTGAAGGAAAAGAAGAGCCATGTGCCAATGCTGGTGACCTTTCTTTCCACCTTTGAGCTTAGGAAAATTTAGCAGAACTTCATAACCTTCAGAATATACAGTAACACTCAGTCTCCTCCAAATATTGTTGGTCATCTTTAAAACAAACAGCTCATCTTTATCAGAAATTGAACATGTCAACATCTTATTTCCTCCAACGATTTCTGTGCTTTGTGTTTGTTTATTACAAGCATAACATTGAGTTTGGGTGAAAACTTCAGAGTCTGTCTGCCAGGCACAGCTGCTGACAAGTGGTCCTAGTGCTTGTAAGTCTGCAGAAAAAGAAGTGATCTGTGTTCAAAGCATGGGCAGATGGGATAATAAAGGAAAAGGTCATGAATTCCACGTTCTGATGTGCATAAGTAGTGGTTAGTAAAATCCTCAGACTGTAGGAATAATTTGGCACTCCTTTTCAAAGGAGTTTTGCAGAGTCAGAGGTGAGAGTTTGAGAGTAGTGTCAGAGGCAGAGAGTGGTTCAGGGTGTGTTTGGGGTAATGTCCCCTGTGTCCCTCTCCCTGCACTGACACTTTCCATGGGGGCCTTTACAGCAGCAGCTTCATGACATAAAAATGAACAATCAGACCTGGCCTTTTGTAACAAATTCTAGGGTTTGAAGTTGTACTTCTTAGCTTTCTAGAACTGATATAGAAATACAAAAATACAGTGATGTATGTCCTGGATTTGATCAACAATGTGAGATTCAAGTAACACTGGGAAAAGTGGTCTAGTTTTACCCTCATGTATAAGAAATACCTGTGAAGAAGAAAATATACTTTGCTAAAATAAAGGTTCTTCCCATCTAGCAATTAGCATCTTTAAGTTATCTTTTCCTTCAGGACAATAGCTACTTTTACATAACAGAAGTGGGCTCCTTCCAAAGAAAATTGAGTGAGTTCCACATTCACTGAGAGGATTCTTTGAAAATGAAACAATGAGGGAGAATGCTTCTGACACAGAAAGCAAGCTGTAACAAAGCAGATGAATACTGGCATAACAAGCAAATGAAACCCCACAAACCATCACTGCCAATCTTTATAATTCTTTAATTTTCAGGTTGCACCTGCATTTTGCAGCACTCTCATTGTTTTAGAGTGACATGCAAAGAAAACAGCTCAAATGATCACTTGATTAGTTCACAACACTCAAACTCTTAGAAACAGACTAAAAGAAAAGCAAACCCAGACTCCTGGGGTTTTTTGACCTGGTGTTTGATGCTTCTTGAAGCAAAAGTATAATCACTTGTCCAAAAGGGAAAGGTAAAGCAACATTTTTAAAAATGAATCATTAATTTTTATGGGTTTCTTTTCTTTTTACCCCCAATGAGGTGTTATGAAATCAGTCTAATTGCTAAATTAGATCCAGTTCTTTCCTTTAGGCTCTATTACACTTTGCTTATGGACTTATCTTTGATTTCATAAATACTATTACTTTTGAGATAAAATGATGACTTCTACCATTTGAAGTCTTTTATCTCAGGAGAAAGTGAAGAATTTGACCTATTTTTTACCATGTGAAATAATGATACCACTAGTCTAGGTTGCAAATAAAATTATTAGTTCTCAGATCTATACAAACATTATCTAGAAACACAGCATATCAGTCCCTCAAGGAAATAAGCTCTATTTCCTTGCAAGAAATTAATAAGGGGCAGATATTCATGTTCTTGGAATTGAATAAACTTGTTCTATATAGTCCTATTTTGTTAAATGTCTGGGGGAAAAGTGTGGGGGTACTTGTGCTGGTTTTGCATTAACTGATGAGATTTCAAATCTCTGAGAAACTGCTAAGAGCTTCCTCTGTACCTACCAGAAACCAATGGCTGGCTAGCTCTGGGAATTGACAGCCTATGAAACCATTTGGAAGCTGGGCCCGCCTCTGTGAGATTCACATTTTTTGTGATTCACAAAGACAGGCAAGCCCAGGAAAGCTCTTTTGCTTCCAGCTTTGAAGAGGTGACCGGGCGCCGGTGGGGCCGGGCCGCGGCGGAGGCCGGGCAGGGGAAGGGAGGCCGCGGGGCCCCGGCTGAAGCTGGGCCGGTTCATGGTGCTGCCATCCCTCTGCCATCCCTCTGCCATCCCCCTGCCATCCCCCTGCCATCCCCCTGCCATCCCCCTGCCATCCCGCTGACAGACACCGAGCCCTGGCCCCGCCATCTGCCCACACCGAGCCGGGTCCGCACGGCTGCCGGGCAGAGCGGGGCCCAGCACGGCCTGAAATCCATCGCCGTGACTGCTGCGGCCACTGCCCGGCTGAAACCACCGAGAGCATCCACAGGCCTGGCTGAGATATCAACTCTCACTGCACAGACCTGCAGAGCTCCATCCTCCCCTCGGGTGAGAGAAAAGGACAGAGTGAGGACATGTAAAGGACAACATGAAGACACCAAGGTCAGTAAAGAAGGAGTCAAGTCCCAGATGGAAGGAGAATGAGGAGATGCTCTAGTGTTGGTGCTGAAAGTTCTTTTGGTAAGGCCGTGGAGATGGACTATGATACACTAAAATATCCCCTTTAACTCCTGAGAAAGTGTGGGGGATGGAGTGTGCAAACTGTAGGTGTGAGCAGAGGCATCCATAATGAAGCAAAGCAGATGCTGAAGGAGCTGTGATCCCATGAGAAGCTTGAATAGAGAGACACAAGAGTGAGGAAGAGCCTTTGCCCCCAGGGAGGGGAGAAGGTCTCTGCTCAGAGGTGAAGATGAAGGCAGAGATAGATGAAAGCAATACAATCAGCACACCCACACAGGCTGACACAAAGGTTAGGCAAATCTTTTTCCATAGAGCATTGCAGAGCTCTTCCAGCCACACACATGTTCCACTGAACCACCACAGCAATCAGCCTACACACTGTATTGGACATGGCACGAGTGTTTTGTTCACTATTGCTGTGTTTTCCTTGAAAAGCTATAAGTTTGAAAAAAAGTACAACTACTGAGAAAGAGGTTCATATTGGTTACAATTCAGTAGTCAGAATCCTAAAGCATCTTACACTCTTTTTAGAGGAAAGACTGTAAAATAATGCTGCTAAGTGATGACAAATTCTTCCTACTTGTAGATCTATCTGGAAATTTGAAAACACTTTTTGCCTAAGTGAATAATCTTATATTTTTAGTGGAAGTACTTGTAAGGAAAGACAGTCATCAATGTGAGAACATCCAAAATGATCTGGCCTGTCATATCACATGAAATCCAGGAAAGCAAATTTAGCAATTTATGAAAATGTTTTATTTTCCCCTCTCCAGGGTTCCAGCAAGAATGGCTATTCTTTCCTAATCCACTACTGAGAAGATACGCTATTTGCAAGGCTTAGTGTTTCACTCACCTATGAGCAAAAGTTCTAATTCACCCGTGTGTAATTTTGTAACAGGTTGTATTTCTCCGTATAGAATCACTTTTTTCTTTATATCAGAGCACAGGTTTCTATTGAGGCTACTCCACATCCATTACCTTTGTAAATGCTGCTGGCAAGATGAGGATGACAAACAGCATCAGGTGTCAGCACTGTATTTTAGCAGATCCAAGATACAGATTCCACAGATGACCTTTGTGAGCCTCTTGTCCCTTAGTACACTAAATACTTTCCAAAGAATAGCCTTGATTCCAAAGGAAGAGAAGACTGACTGATTATAAAGTCCATTATGATTTTCTGAGTAAATTATATTTTAAACAAAGATAACATACAGTCAGTAACACCAGATTTGCTAAGGTCTATGTCTTTCTTTCACACTTCACAGGCAAGTTCAAATGTTGTTACAACCCTATTTTATTAAAAAAAAAAAATTTCTATATTTTTGATAAGGCATTATCAGATTTTTTTTTTAAATTTCAACAATTATAGAGATAATATGATACTTTGCAAAACCAAAATACCCTACAAAAAACTCCATTCCTTAAAGTCATTGTTAATATTGATGCTGACATAATTCAGTGTATAGTAGGAACGTAGTCCAAATTTTTCCAAAATAGCAGGAACCAGTTTGCCAGTGAGTTCTTGTACTGCCTAGCAAATGTTCTTTCTCTATGGAAACAGGTTTTTATCATATATAGTGAGGTGAAAGGGCTTCATCAGTTAATTCTGTTAGGTTATGCACACAGTACCTGAGATGAGAGTAAGAAGAGGTAAGACTTTGGATGTGTTTAGAAAGACAAGAGGAAACCAAGGTTATTCTGACTTCTAATTTTTCTTTTGCAGAATAGCATTCGGCTACATTTTACACTGGACAAGCTCTCCTGCCCCCAGATGTCTGGGTAATTGTTAAAAATAGAAATTTTTAGAAAGACTGCACATATTTTCTTCCTTATGCCTCAAGTAATCAGAAGATCCACTAATGCAAAGCTCTGGTCACCTGATTGACCTAATGGGATACTGAGAACAATTTGGTGCAAGATAACAAAAAATGCATATGTGAATGATGCTTCAAATGAGAAACAGGGCATCTCAGAGACAGCATTTGATTAGGAAAAAGGTTTAAAAGTATACAAAAATTAGTTCTAGCAGTATTTACCTATAACAGAGACTTAGGCAGTCAGCTGATGACTGTAATGAGACTATAAAGTGAAAGCAAAAAGCACAACAAAGATCAAAAGCTAATCTCAAGGCAAGATGGATACTGTGGACTCAAAAACCAGTGCCAGGATTCCCTATTGCCTTTTAGCTGGAAGCTGCCCAAGGCTGGAAACAAGAAGTTACTCATCCCATGCATAACGTAGATTGCCTTGTTACCTGCTCTATTTAATCAGCAAACAAATCAATGTAATCCATATGACATATGACTGGACTGGTCTGCTTGCTACTATTGCCTGTACCCCTGCAAAATGTGTCACAAGGGGTTTTGATCCAAACCTTTTCTAACACCTTTTTCTAGCCACTATTTCCTAGATGTTTTATTTATTTAGAATACATCGATCTACATGACAAATACATATGAACACACTGCACTGTGAAATATCTGGCTGCAGAGATAAGATGGTAGAAATCTTTTGAAAATGCAACATTTCTAGGGTTTTGCTAATGAACCACCCACCAAAAGGGAGTAGCACGTCTTAAAGGAAGCAATGTCTAGAATGCTGAATAACTCAGCACTCAGGAGAACAGCGTTTTGTTTCTTCTGTGCATCTTAACCTCTGCTCTGCAGGGAATATTCTCTAGGACGGCATCTAAAGAAAGTGTATTAGGCTCTATGCTAATCACTTCTGAGCCTTTCAAGTAACTGCTGCTGATTGTATCAAAAATGTGCCAAGAGAAACAAACTGAGAATGCAAAATCCATTTGAATTTTCTTTTGAAGCTACAAGTTAAAACTCCTGGCAGCACCAGTGCTTTCAGCAGTGTAAGATTTTCATACTTTGTGCACTTCAAAGTGCAGATGAGGATTATGACCTTATATATTGTATATGCACCTATATTTTATTTATACTGCATCTGTGCAATCAAGAGAAAAGATATTTCCATGACCTTCTACCAGCAAGAAACCTAACAAGAGTATTCAGACCTATTGAAAATTCACAGTTAATTAAAGGTTAAAAGGAACTTGCCAATTAGTATGAAAGATAATTGTCCTCCTTTGGCTACCTGATTATGTTTTCCTTTGAATACACTGAAGTGTACGTTGTCATGCTGTTGGTAAATGTAATCATAAAGCACTCAAAGTACCTCCTGGCTCTGAAAATACTTAGCCTTAGAAACCAAAATTCTATGTGAAGTTTATAATTATCCTTTCATTATGCATGTGAACATCTTTGGATAGTTGTGGGGGAAAAATATCAGTAACACAGTAAAGGTAAGCAAGGCTTAGAACCCAGAGAAATGGGAGTTGTAGTTAGAATCACTTTTATTCCTAAAACCACAAGAGGAAAAGAGAACACTGATACTACAGCTGTGAAAACCAAATATATCATATCTAGTGATAATTCTTATAATAATTGTGATTTTTTTTATTTGTTATTCATGTTACCAAGAACGATACATGATGCTTTAGATTCAGGATGCAAGTAAATTCCATTCACCCGGTCACAGACAACAAAGATGTGCTTGATTTCTCTCTGTCTCTCAAAAACAAAATAAACCAGAAAACACCAGAACACCCACTGAAATTTCAAGTAAAAAAAGAATTAATATGTTTTGTTGAAACAAGAGCTCAGCCAACAATCCAGGAAACAGACGTTTTACCTCTGGTTGTGATCATAAGTGATCTATAAAATTCTTTCATTTTTAGGACTGTCTTGCTTCAAAATAAATTGATTTAATACTTAAGAAAATTTTAATTTAATGATAAGAAAAATGTTAATTATTACATGTTGTTGACATACCATAGCTTTTTATTTGTGGTATTAGAGAAAAATACCTATTATTCTTTTCTATCAATAGGTTTATAATTTACAAAACTATGTCTGTAAAAAGAAATTTCTCTGGTCCTGAATGAACTTTCTCTTGCAAAGACTATCTGATTGCTCTTTTTCTTCTCTCTCAGTTGACTATCTTATGGTCATTTTATATATTCTCTTTTCCCCAGCACTGTTCCCTTTATACATTATTTTTCTTCAAAATTTCCTTCCCTGCACTAGAGCAACTCTCATGATTACACCAAAAACCAGACTACACCAAAACAACCTAGAAGATTCCTCTGGGTCTAGAATTCTATTTATCTCTATTTATTTATTCTATTCTACATTAGCCTCCTAATCTTGGCTTCTCTCTTTTCTAACTTTTTGTGACAGACACTTTTTGTTATCACAATACTGGCCATGCACTGTCAAACCAATCAGTCAAACAATCTACTGATATAGTTAAATCCTATTCAACTTCTCTGTAATGACAGTAAAAATTTAAATTCAAGCTTGTAACGTTTCAATATAAAATTTTGGCAAAGTTTCACTCTTTTTATAGAATTATTTTAGAAGTGTGTCAAGATCCTGTGATTAATTCTGAAAAATGACAAGGACACACTTTGATCTTTAGGCATGATGGCAAATTTGCTGTGGATTTTATGAAATCTGAATGCTGGAGACAATTGAATTTTCTTCCTGACATTTATGGGTCTCTTGGTACTTATGACAATTTTTCAATTTCTATAACTACACTTGCTGCTATAATACATATGTATGTATTCCAATAATCTAACAAAGGCATTATGAATTATTTCTCCTCCTATTCAAGAAGAACTGGCACTTTCTGTTATGAAAATTGTGAATACTGGCACAAATAACTTCTCAGTTATGTTCATATGGAGAATTGGCTTGGCATGGAATGAGAATGAAAACAGGACATAAGCTACAGCAAACAACTTTCCCATGCTGTTTTAACCACCACAACATTAACCTTATTTAAATTACACTCAGATTTCATGCTGTTCTGCACAATGGACTTCCAATCACTACACTAGATTTATTATGGTTTTTCTTTTTGTATTTCCAAGACTTTGAAGTTGGCAAGAATTATGAAAAAAAAGATTTGGAGATAGATTTGTTTTTCTTCTTTAGTTGCTTTGCTTATTTTCCACAGAGAAATGGACATTTGGCTTCTCAGTCCTTCACATGTTGTGAGGACAAAAAAGGTATTTGTCTCAAAGCAGGAAAAGCAAATTGCCAGAGCTGTTTTTGAAAGGTATTTATGAAATCCACTGGCTGATGTGTCATTACAAGAAACTATAATTTCTTGTTACTGTATTTGTTGCTGTATTACTGTCTTCTTACTGCATTACTCCCATTTGAAATGTTTTGTGATGCTCAAGCCTTCCTAAAACCAAATGCTGCACTATGGTACATAAATATTACCAATATAACCAGTTGTCATGATAATTTTAAATTGAGCAAGAAATTCTAGTACAGATTATTCTTGTCACTACCGAGTGATTTTTCTAAAAATAATTTTTTGCCTGCTTACTAATAACACAAAACTGAAACAGTAAAGATTCAAGCTAATCACTTACTCTTTTAAACAAAACACATATTGAATCACTGGTCAATGCTGGAGTGGGCTGACATTACCTTTGAAACCTCTATATGAACTGCTTATAAACAGCTTGACAAATATTCAATACTATTGTAATTTCAGACTTTCTGGTTTGTTTTGTGTCTTTTGTTTGCTAAACCTTTTTTTCCCCCTCAAATTATTCCATTTTCTAAAAGGAAAACTTTTCTGTCATTACCCTGCCTGCCAGTTTGTAGCCCTTGCAGAAGGCAGAGTTTCACTGAGTGTCACCTGAGCTGCTCTGTACTAACAACTTGTTTTTTGGTTTTACCAGTGAAGCACTATGGTGAAGGTCAACATTCTGGATGTAATAGAGGCTGGGAAAAATGGAAGAGTTCTCAAATAATTTCATTAATTAACTTCTTTTTCATTATAAATGTAAACTAAAACTTTATAAGTACCAAAGAGGCCTCCAAAATTTTCATGAGAGGATGGAAAGAAAATGAAAACCTTATGACAGGAAGATCTCTTGCCTCTTTTTCTTTCCTATGCTGAAATTTTATGCCTTTTCAAATTAAATTCCTGTCCAGAAAAACAGTCCAGGGCAAAGAAATCAACTGTTTTCTTTAAATGGAACACCTTCGTATATATTGCAAATTAAAACCGAACCTGTGCTTCCAATTTACACTTTGATGATGGCTGAGTATTCAGAATACATAGAAAGAAAGTGAAAGAGAGAAATGCAAACTGAATACAATCAAGGAAATGGGTTCTATTTCCAGCTGAGAGAGAGAAAAGAAAGACTCACCTTTATATCATTATCATGTTGAAAAAGACCAAGTGATATTTTGAAATATCAATCAGTTTCTAAGCACTGATTGAAAAATCCTGCAGTGATCTGACCAGCACGGGGCTGCTGAGGCATCTGCACCTGGAGCAAGGTTTGGATACAACAGAGCCCAAACACACAGCCCTGCCTTCTACAACAAATAATAAATATTGTAATAAATCTTCTGCCATCTGCAGATCATGCACAACGTATCTGGAGATGGTTGTATCTAGTTTGTTTAATTCTATACTACATCTGGAGATACTACTGTTTTTCACCTGTAATTTATTAATTAAATAAATTTTTTTAAATGAGAAAAAAAAAAGTCTAATAGCACATGTAAAGTACACATATGCTAAACCTATAAGCATCCAGACAAAACACAGTTATATTTTCTCTAATTATACAAGAAAAAACGTTGAGAATTAGAAAGGAGTTCATAAAGACAAGTTATTGTTTCAGCTGGGCTTATCATTCAGAATTTTAATTCAGAACTGGGGCAGGGTCTGGACATAGTTAAGGCTGCAGCAATTTCCTGTGAGTGATTGCAAGGTCCTGTCTGGATTTTTACACAGTGTGGATTCCTGTGTAGGATTTACTTCATTCTGGTTATTATATCAGGATGCAGATAAGAAGACAGTTGATAGTTTCCTAAATAGACATCAAGAACATATTTATCAGGCGGATAAAAAAAAATTAGAAATAGAAAATGCTTTTATCAGAGCTCAGCTATCAATTTTTTTTGCATTTTGTTCCAAGAAAAAGTCCAAAATTTGGAAGTTCCATATGCAGATTTTCAGAATGGGTTCATATTATTGTCTCAAGCAGTTATTGTGACCTCAGTAATTTAGCCAATAGTAGACTAAATATAAATTTCATAGTCTAAATTAAGTCTGACATCTGTAAAAAGCTACATAATTTTTTTATAGAATATGGGAATGGAAGAATTAAATCAAACTGGGAAATTTTGTAATTTCTGTTTTTAGAATTTATTTAAGAGAAATAAATCTGAACAGAATTTACAAATCATACCTATTGCAACATTTAATGTTAGTTAGAAAAAAAAAAACAAACAAGCCCTAGCTTTATTGTACCTAAATTTATTTTTAGAGGTAAAAGCCATTCCACCACTTTTTGGTTAAAAAGATTTCAAACCACACACTAAATTTTAGTTTAGTGAATCAACTGTCTATAAATACTACTGCGAGTAACTTGGAAACGTGTCCCTAGCAGTTCCTTGTTAGTTCAGTTCTAATGTGTAGACTTTATTAAGTGTCCAGAAAGACAAATGAGTCCCAGGATTGTTTCAATCAGTGTTTTATTTATTGACAGGCTTTACCTATGTCATCCCTTTGGTATATTTTTAAAGGTTTCTAAGTTTATTTTTAAAGGTTTCTGTCATGTTTCTGACCATTGTGTTTTGTAACTTATTAAAACAGCAGTAATATTTAATAATCACACAGGTTTTCAACTAACTATTTATTGAAAAATTATAGCTGAACTTGAAATTCCAAGTTCAAATTGTCAGTAGTGGAAAATACAAACTGGGCATGTTACCACTCCCAATATTTTGATGAAAAAGGATTCCAGCCATACTGCTTTATAAATTAATCTGCTCATTCATGAAACAGAAAATTAGTTCATCGCTGTATTAATCCCAAAAGCAAAGAAGTGGGAAATAGATGGCAATTCTGTTAGGAATTCTATAATTAGGGATTATAATTTTTATAATCCCTAGTCTGTGCTGTCTAGGCACAATCCAGCTCCAGTGTAAGGAGGTGTTCTCCTGTCAAACGTGTTTAAGCTTGTGAGACTT